CCCGATTGCGGCCCGTACATAGCAGGTAGGAATTACTATTCAAGTGGTTATCAAAATCAAATAAATATCCCAATTGCGTCCGATATGTATTTTGACATCGTAATCAACTATCGTAATCACGATTCACACGATAACCAATATTCGGCGTGGTAATTTCCATAGATGTATACAACAACTATTAGCTATTTTTTTACTGTAGACAATTTATTATTTTAATATTCGACTATTTATTGACTATTTACTGACATAATTGTATTTCATATCTTTATATATTGTAAAAAATTTATTATTTTGTTATTTTACTATTTGTTACTGCAATCTCGTAATTATACTTTTAACATAAATATTAAACATTTTGTGAACCAATGTGTGTCTGGACGCAATCGGGATACTTATATTTGGGATAAAATACGACTACCTGGATTCGGGCTGCAATCGGGCAACTTTGGTTTCACCAACATACTCTTGTGACAAACAGTAATTTATTATTGGCAAATTATCGGTAGCCCCAATGGTACCCATCAATCAAATAATATAATAATAATAATAATTATCAGATAAAAACAAGCCCGAAGTTTAGAAAATTATGAGACGTAGTACATTAATTTAATTAAATTTCTCGTTCCTATGTAAAAAAATATTTTTCATAATAATTTTTTCGTCGGTAAATAAATATTTACAAGGATGATTGTTATAAACATTTTCAAGAATAGTTGATTGTCAGAATTTAAAAAATATTCGCGAGAGGTCATCCCGCTGTCCGGATCCATGCCTGAAAATGACGTATTCCGTTTCGATTCAAGTTGTCAATTTTACCATTGGACAATGTCGACGGTTTCACTGATATTTTCGTGCATCAGGATTCCGAAAATATATCTGATCACAGAGTGTTTGGCTGCATCAGAGCGTATAATGTTCGGTCATAGGGATAGGCGGACATCGAGGGGGGGGGGCCTTAATTAGGCTTAGCCCCCAAATATTTTAATAGCCTACCAAAATCGAAAAATATTGTTAGAAATGTTATTTGTTATATTTATAATTATCTGTTCGTTTTTTTGAAAATCATAAAATAAGAAATAATAAAAAATTATGTATAATAGCATTAACAATACCAATTAGTTCAGCTATTTGCGAAAGAAGTTTCAATGCAATGAAAAAAATAAAAACTTGGCTAAGGACATCGTTGGTTCAAGATAGGTTCAGCGATTTTTCAATACTATATAATGAAAAAGATAAATCGAAAAATATAAAAAGCGATGACATTTTGAATATCTTTGCTGTTACAAATATATATTTGTCATTAAAATAAAATATTAATTATTTTTAAATATACGTTATTTAGTGTTTTTTTTTAATACAATTTAAACATATCTACATTTTTAACAGTAATAAGTTTTAATCGTGCATGGGAAAGGGACGTTGGGACGAAGCTCCTGCGGGTTATTTTACATTGAATTATTATAGCCCCCCCCCCCCCAAAAAAAAAAAAGTCAACCAAATGTCCGCCTATGGTCATAGGTGTGAACGTGTAAGCACAAACGTCTCGTTACGCCAGCGGTGATAATTAGCACGTTCGTGATAATAGAGTTTTATTTTGTATTCAGTTGGCCGTTGCAGCTCCATTACCGTTGCACCGGTGCGTGACCGCGCGTCTCGCCGGGTTCGAGATTACACGCCGTTCAGCACGAAAAACACCTAACGCGAAGTGGTAAACGAAAGAGGATCCGTGTCATAAGCGGATCCGTTATAGCTCATGGACGTGTCTTACGCGCGACACAGTCGACTCGACGATAAAAGCGAACCGACAATCGGTCGAAGACGACGTTACAGTCAACGTTTCAACAAGGTCTTCAGCGAATAAGTTAACAAAAATAATAACTATCGTTGTAATCATACATATATAAATACACAAGGCGCCGCTGCGATTATCATCACCGTAAATCGTAAACGTTTTCGTACGTCACGGGAAATCCTTACCATCGGACGCGAATTCGCGTGTTGGTACGTATTTTTGTTCGAACCGCAACCGCTCTGGCCCACAAATCAAGATGCACTGGATACCCAACGAGCCTATATTGAAAATTACATTAGAATAACACAAGGTGACTCCGCCAAAACGATCTAGCGCTTGTTATCATATTAGTGGCAAATCGCACAAATAGATAGACATCGATTTATTTACCGCCGAAATGTGTTTCATGTTTTATAAGACATTACACGATTATGATTTATTTCTTTTTCCTAATCCAAATTAATATTTCGTTTCTGAACGTTTTGTATGGTTGTACGTTGTCAACGATTACCGACGCATTCTATCACTGAACGTTCATTTTGTCCACTCGCAGACGTTTGCAATCGTAAAGTCAGTTCGAGTTTCCGTTCAACCCGTTCGGGTGCAGCGACGTTCTGAATAGGTACATCGGTAACGTTAACGCGCGGCATCGTCGAATTACAATATTACAATAACGATATTACCCGATATCGTTCGCCGAATCCGGCGCGGACTACCCCCAATCGCGCGGATCAGACGACACAGTGCGGGTGTACTTGTCGTATATTATTCTGTTGCGCTATTAAAATCGCATCGATCGTCGGGATTTCGCGGGAGAACGGCACAATCGAACGGGCCAATCTCGTCGATCGCATCTCGGGTTGCCCGCCGTGCACCCGTCGCGTGCACAAGAGGGCCGGCCGCCGGCAATTTATTAAACGGCGGTAATTTCATTTTTCATATTTATTTATTTTTTCTTTATTTTTGTCCACCCCTCCGACGCGCAGGGGTGAACGCGCGTTTTACCATAACGTTACCGTGCACGTCGCGGTGCGCAATATTTGCGATTGCGATTATGGGGCGTACAATGGGCGCAGAGCGTTTAACGACAACGGTTCACCGGTTTCCGCGGAACCCCAAAAAAATCGAATCCCCCGGACCCTGTCCACCGCCCGATCATCATACTAACACCTCGTCAGGCAGACGGGAACAACGGTCGTGCACGACGATTGTCACGCAACGAAACGAGTAGTCGACGACGAGATGACTAACTGGAGAACGTTTCGGCTCGTGGACGTTTCGAAACAAACGCGTGCGTCGGACTGCAGATCGATGCGTTTCCGTCGCGCAATAATGCTTCCGATGTATATTGGACCGTCGAATATTCGGAGACGCGATCGCAAAAAATGCCTACGACAATTAGACTAACTCGATTTTAATTGAACGCGAAACAATGCTTTTCGCCGTTATAATTTTCGGTCTGAAACAACCAATCTGTTTGAAACCGACCTGATGTGGCGATTGTCGAAACGCAAACGATCTAACGGAAAAGCGAAAATAGCGAAAGCAAAACGACGGAAATAAAAAAAATCATATCAACGAAGTATCGTTGTCTTAGTTCAGCGGTTACTGCTTGCCCTCATTGCCAACAGCTCAAAGCGTGATTGTATAAGTCAAACGGCGGTGGAGGGGGCACAGTGAGTGACAAACGCACGAAACGGAAAGAACATTTTATCCGCTTGCGGTGTTCACGTGTCACGTGTACGGTCGAAAATTTGCTACCGACAACCGCGCCGCGACGCACAGACATACAAGGCCGGTGAGAGGGTGGAAAGAGATGGTTGAAGTCCCGGGTCAGGTAAAAAGTCAAGTAGAGGCCCTGGAAACGATCAGCCCCGAGTTCCTCAGAAGTTCTCGCCACGGCGCGACCGATACCTCAGGGGGGGGGGGGGCGACCACCTTATAGACACTTGCGAGGGCGAGGAGGTAAACGTTCGCAACAGCAAGACAATGACAAAAGGAGAGGTAGCGGTGTTCGGTGCTGGACGATTTAATGAAATAAAAAACAAAACAATCGGTAAACGGCCAACGCTCGTAAACGTGCGAACAAAATTTGTAAAAAATTTAATAGTTTTACGATTGGCGTACGGTTCGTATCGACGCGATCCGAGAACCACATGTGTCGCATGGGTTAAGGGAGAAAGGACGATGTCTCCCGGTAGTAGTGCAGCGCTGTGTGGGCGCGATCGCGCGGGTGCGCCGAAACGCGGCCGATTCAAATTTCACGAGCGGGCTGATTCGCGTGACGACACCGAACGCACGGTTCCGATTCGCCGCACGTGCCCCCGGAACTTTATTCGCTTCGGTGCGCATGGGCGCAACTGAAGACCAAATATTGGGAGTGTTGAAATTTTCTGAAAATAATATTAAATAGTATTTAACTTTAATTACTATAGATCATATAGATCTGAAAAAAATAAACTGTAGCGCTACATTTGAACTCAGGGGTGCTAAAAACCTTACTGTGCCCCTCTAGTTGCACCTATGCCGGGGCGCGCAATGTGAACGACCATTTGCGAATGTTCGCACCCCTCGACCTATTGGCTTCTCTAACGGTGCGATCGTCGAAGGGCACACGGTTCGGGTCGGACGGCGCATTTTTCCACCGGCCGGTACATGGTTGAACGCCCGTGCTTTTACCTAGTTTTACCTTTTTTTTTAATTTCTCTATTTTCTACCGTCACACTCGTTAGCAGATACGGAGTGCATACGTTATAAATATTTTTATCCGAAACCGATGATTTTCGAAGGATCAAAAACAACGATGACGAGCTTCCGTCGAATTGTTATAATTTTTTTTCCAATCACGTTTCGATCGATTTGCATTTAAAACAACGATTCGCAGTACATCGACGAAAATAAATACGATATAAATGGCGAGGAAATCACCTGTTGGTAACTACGTGCCTTTTTAATGAACAAGTCTCTGCTCCGTTTTCGTTTTTACGTATGCGGTAGCTTTCGGGAAGTGAAAAGGCACACACGAAACATACCAGAGGAATCGTAATACGAGAGTTTAAATTACGTGCGTTGTTCCAGATCTCCCTTCTCCTTCTCCTTAACCATGAATCATAATTCGTTCATCTTAGGTATTTAGTATGTATGTATGTATGTTTTAATTTGTATGCCCATTCTCTAAATTTTTACTAATTGAATAATTTCATTTTAGCATTCAAAAAACCAATGCAAAACTAGAGAAATGTTTCTCTGGCACACTCACTGACGGAACGGATTTGCGATGATGGGAATGGTATGATTTTACGGTCTCATAATTCGGCATGCAATAATGATTAGTAGGGCTCGGAGAACTCAATGCACTTAAAACATACAAAATACGCATGCACTTATGCGCTTAAAAAAGTACGAGTATGATTTAAAAAAATGCACTTCATTTTTATTTTTTAAAGCATAAATAAAAATGATAAAAAATGATTAGAACCCAATTCCATGGTACTTCAAAGTAAGAAATTATTTTGGTTTTTACCTGCAAAACTATTGAATTTACTACTAAACATTTTTTTATGTTTTCAAAAGTTGAAAGATCGCCGATCATTCGATTAATGCAATCAACGAAATAAATATAATTAATAAACAAGGGTTAATAATAAATGAGAGTAAATATAAATAAAATTGAATATTTTGTGTCAACCTGAGATTTGAGAATCATGTTAGATAAAATATCTAATGCCTTATATGAGGGGTGGCAAACCTATGGCACACGTGCCAAAGGTGGAACTTTGACCAAATTTTAATGACACGAGCAAAAAATTGAAATTATTAAAAATTGTACAAAAAAAAAAATTATTTATTTTTGTGTACAGTTTTATACTTTTTTTTATAATCATTATACTATTTATAAAATGTTAGTTATAAAAAATTCAAAGAAACAAATTATATATTTTTGTATATTATTTGTATTGCTTTTTTCATTTATTTATATTATTATTTATGTTATGTATTTCAAAAATGACAATATTCCTTATGTTTTCATACTTTTTTGTCAACTTATATGTTTTTGAAAGCCATAACGAATTAAATTAAATGGAAGGAAATATATTGTTTAACCAATAAAAGGTTTGCTGCTTGTATTTCACTAAGATTGACTAAAATGTAATAAATCTGTAATTTTATTTTTATTCTTAGAAAATATAATTTTCTTTGGGCACATGAACGATTTTCAAATCCTTAATTGGGAAAATCTGGTACTTAAACCAAAAAAGGTTCACCACCCCTGTTTTATATCAATACATAATGAAAAGTCTCGAAATAAATATTATTTTATTATTACAATCTTTTTAAATGTTATAATCAATTTATCAATAATTATTAAATATGCTCTAAAAAATGGAAAAATTAGAAAATTTGTGCTTAAAATTACTAAATCACTAAATATGCAAAATATGCAATATAAACTTTTAATATGTATTTCGTAGTAATAATTTAAATCGTACTTAGCAATAAATTGAATAGCCCAATAAAAAAATGCAAATCTTCCGAATCCTAATGATTAGTCTACGTTTTAATTCCTCAATAAGAAATTCAATGTAATATAACTAATATAAGATACGAGTATATTATATCCTCTCAAAGCGTATTTTTTTTTTTTTTTACGTCAATGATACAGTTTATCCACTTCTGGAACAGCTGGTTCTTCGAACGATTGTTTATTAAATCAATTCGATAATTTCATCGTTTTACATAGTTTATAAAATTATCACTGAAATTCGTTAACAATCTATAAATAATGAAGACAGAAAAATAGTTTTAAAGATTATTGCACTGGTACAACAATACGCATTGTAATAATATTTAACTGCTCGAATAAATATTATGTTTTCTTAATCATGATATTATTTTTTTTATTAACATTCCATTTATTATTGTATTATAATTCAGGTGATATCTATGTACAACACGAACGAATGTCGGATTTTTCAGGAATCTCCGTCAGCTCGTACAACTTTGTGTACCTACTTCGACGTTTACCAGCATTTTGTGTTTCAGTATTGAAAGTCTTGGATGGGTCACTGAGATTTGTTTGAAGCAACGTCGAGTGAACATTCTTTGACATTTTCTTTCGTTGGTTCTTAGACTTCTTGGCAGTTTTATTTTCAGATTTTGATTGAACACCGAGAGCTGTTGAATTTTTTTCCATCGAATTATCCGGCGCATTAATACAGGTAACTTCATCTGAAATTGAAATAATATATGTATATTTACCGGTTATTTTATTAATACGATTCGTATTTTGTCCCAATCAATAACTTACTCATTTTAGTATCGACAGGGGCAATTGGCTCCACTGACGACTTAACTACTAATCTCTTATTCATAACTGTAATACAACTGTTGACAAGCTCTGGTCTATAAACAGTTTCTTCTTCTGGACTTACATAATTTTCTTGAACTTTAGACGATATCGGTGAAAAACTCGAGTGAATATCGCATTTTTCAGGAATCTCCGTCAGCTCGTACAACTTTGTGTACTTAATTCGACGTCTACCTGAATTTCGTGTTTCATTATTGAAAGTCTTAGACGGGTCACTGAAATTCGTCTTGTTTTCTTTCGTAGCACTTTTTATACTCATAGATTCGTTTGAAATAACATCGAGTGAAGAACATCCTTTCGACATTTTCTTTCGTTGATTCTTAGACTTTTTAACAGATCTATTTTCAGAAATTGCTTTATTATCGAGGGCTACTGACTTTTCTTCCAACGAATTATCCGGCGATTTAATAGCCTTATCTGAAATTGGAATAATATATGTATATTTATCGATTATTTTATTCATATGATTCGTATTTTGTCTCAATCAATAACTTACTTTTTGTAATATCGACAGGGGCGATTGGCTCCACCGACGATTTATCTACTACTCTTTTACTCATGACTATAACACAACTGTTGACAAGCTCCGGTCTATTAACAGTTTCTCCAAGTGGACTTGCGTGGTTTTCTTGAGCAGTGGATGACCTCGATGTACGACACGCGTAAATATTGGATCTTTCCGGAAGTTCTGTCAGATCGTATAACTTAGTATACTTGTTATGTTTTTTCCCTGATTTCTGTGTCTTTGAGTTTAAACCTCTAAAATTGGCATTGTAATCCGTTTTATTGTTTTCAGTTATACGAGTACGTTCTACCAACGAGACATTCTCTATATTTGAACATATTGTGGACACCTTTTCCCAGTAGTGCTTCGATGTTTTAAGAACGTTTTCTATTCGGCTATTTGCTATAATGTCAGTTTTATCGTCTTTTCCTAAATGTTTTGGTTTGTGATCAATAATTATTGATTTACATTTAAATTTCCTTGTTTTTTGGCCTCTTGATTGTTTCGCGTCAGTCTTGTGCGGTGACGGTATATCATATGTCTTGTCCAACAAAGACATCATTGGTTTGGAGACGAACGCATCGTGTTTCTTTATAGTCTCGGTGGATTCATTTTTTTCGACAACCATTTTTGTCGTTTTCACGTTATTACTTGTCATCATTATGTCTGATTTAACCTGACACTTTCTGATACAATCGCGTATAACTTCGTAGTGCGTTACTTGATAGTTGTTCTCTGAATTAAATTATGTAGATTTAAACAAGAGACAATATTGCAAGTGCGTTGGTATTCATAGAAATGAATAGAAAATATCTAAGATTGAGTTAATTGTATTGTTTTATCCATTCTTAAACACGTTGCTCTGGATACGAAAAGTGTTATATATTTATATACTATATTATTTACATATATGTATTTTTAAATAATGGGATACTATTCCATATTAAACGGTTTGAGCACAATTAATACTATAAAAAGACAGCTATAGATTTTCACAATTATATTTCAATATAATATAAATTTATAGTTGTTACAACTATAAACAAGCCATAATTTTTAATATCTGCAAACCATTATTTAATTATATAATTCATAAATGCTAAATAACCAGTAATACGCGTTATGACACGAGCGTATCAATTCGCATTAGAAATCTTCCTTGTTTATTATGAGTTTGTTTTGATTCCTATAATTAAATAGTACCTGGAATGCAATACTTACCATAATTTCAAAATAATTACCACAACTTGACTTCATCATATCTTTCTACGGTACTACAGATTTCTAGAAATCTATTATGTAACTCCTCTATTGTAGTACTATTTATTTATTATATGATACGTTTTATCAATGCTGGGCAAGTTAATGATATTTATTAACTTGGTTAAATTAAGTTAATTATTTTCATGTTCAATTACATTAACAATTAAGGTAATTCACATGAGAATTACATAGGGTGACCATACGTCCCGTTTAAAACGGGATTGTCCCTTTTTTTATCATTATGTCCCGTTGTCCCGACAAACTTTGAACAGGACGCTTTTTGTCCTGTTTTTAAAATAGGGTCCCGTTTTAATCACGTTACTTCTATCAAAATTGTAAACCGAGAGCAAAAGAAAAAAAAATAAGACATGTCATATGGTATATATATATATGTAATACGAACTCATGTGTGAGACTTCTAAAGAAATCGATATTAAATACGAATAGTTTACCAATGTACAGTACTATTTATAATCAACCATATTCGGTATAATAGGTATATTAGGTATATTAATCGAAAAATCAAACATAATCGTGCAATAACGTGTGTACATTGCAACGATCTTGTGTTATTAATGTTATAGCCACTATGTATTAGTTCTTTTTATTTAAATTGCTATGAGTCGTTAGTGTTATCACTTGTATTGTTTTTTTTAAATGCCTAAAACGAAATATACGTCCACTGTACCTTTGCAGATTTACTAATGTAATAATAGAAATAATATTATAAATCACAAATATTATATGGACGGACGAAAAAAATAGTTTTCTCGTACCAATTGTCAAAGCAATAATTATTCTTATAAATAATTTTAAAAAATATTCCTGTAATGATTTTTATGATTTTTTGTTAACACAACTAAAACTATTAAATGCAATCAGTTCATCAAAAAAAAAATAATGCCAAAGAATGTACTCGTAATGAAGAAAATTATGAACAATCGACTCAAATAATTCGAAATAATCAATTCAATAAAAATAAAGAATATTTTAAGTAGTTTTTTTTTCAATCTCACAGCAAAAATAGAATGCAAATCAATTTTTAATTAAAATATCAAACTAATTAAAAATTATTTTTATTGCATATAATATAGAAGTTAAAAAAAATGTTGTCTTTTTTTTTTTTGAGAACATATTTGTCCCGTTTTTTTCTTTCATAAATATGGTCACCCTAGTATTACATGAATTAAGTTAAAAATTGAGTTAAAAAATGTCGTTCATATAAGTAACTTTAATTGTTAAGTAAAGTTAGTTACAAAAAAAAAATAATATTTACATTAAGCACTGACTGTTATAAGTGATATATGCAGCAGGGGTGGAACTAGTGGGTGGAAGACGGGGATTCATCCCCGGGCGTAAAATTTTAGTGGGTATAATTTTTGTAATTATTAACAACTAATTTTTTATTATTGACTTTATTAAATATTGATATAAGGTTAAAACTCAATAAGTATGATTGTATATTAATTATTAGAAAAAATTTCTCGAGAAGAATATTTGATTATTTGTCTATGTATGATAAGGTGTAATTTTAATATTTTCCCCGGGATAAAAATTTCTAGTTCCACTTCTGGATATATATATTAACAATTTACAATAGATCTTAATTAACATTAATGATAATGAAAATCTTATTTATGAATATTTTTATTTAACCCTAATTAGAGTAGAAAATATACATTTTTTCATTGGAATTGTTTTTAAGCACTCAAATTTCAGATTTATGGTAATTAATGCATGGTTATTTTTTTAATTAATTTTCATACAAATAAATATAATTAAAAAAAAATATCAATTCTATTTAATGTTCATTAACAGTATGAAAACAAAATAATTAATACAGCTGAAAGTTAACTATAAAATTATACAGACAATACATGTATACCGTAGATACAAAACATTAAAATAAATATATAATATTATTTAACTATATTAAAATCGAAACGAAAATAAAACAATACAATGTATAAGTTAATAAAAATACCTATTGAATCTCAATAAAAGAGTCATCTCTAAATGTTGATCAGCTATTGAATTTCTTTTCTTATCTAATAATATTTAATAATATCATGGATTATGGAATAATACTAATAATAATTGTATTTTATAATCAATGATAATATGTATCGATTATGTAATATACATTTGCGACCATATTTCGTGAAAATAGTAATGTAATTCATGGGCGGCATACTTATTTTTACTAAATTGTCTTAAAATTGTTAATTACTTTTCCCGAAACCGGTTGGTGGAATCTCTAGTATTAGTTAATACCGTGATAAAAATTATATTCTTATCTACAAATTTTTATTTTAATATTTTTTTTAATTTTCATGAACTTGTTATCGAATGCCGTATTTTACAAAAATATTTTCTGGCCTTGAAAATTAAAATTAACTTAATTGGGATAGATGAAAAAGTAATACATTAATTTCAAGTTAAACTGTTAGGAAATGAGTTAAATTTCTAAGTTTAATTAATTTACCATTAATGAAATAAATTGAATTAATAAGTTAAATTAACTTAACTTTTAACTTATTAACTCGTTAATGCCCAGGCACGTATTTTATAAATTGGGGGAAACTGAAAATTTGATATTTTCAATATTTGAAAATTATTCAAATATCAATGAAAATGAATATTTTTTCTGTTTGTGAACAATAAACTTTGTCTCATTATAGAAATATTATTTATTTATTTTTTACCTAAATTATAATTTTAATATAAAAATATTTATATACATTTTGCAAGTAAGATAGATGTATTGTCAGTGGTGTATTTCTCAGTGGTCTACTTTTTAATTTATAGTGCACTAACGGAAATTGCATTTTTGAATTAATATTTTATCCCCCCTAATATATTTTACACCAATTGAAAGTAATCTAATCTTTAGTTCTTATAGTAATTTTTTTATTTGGTAAACATGTAGAAGTAATTTTGACTTCTATATGAAATTGTTCCTTCATAGTAATTGTATTGAAAAATAGGTCACATCAATTTCGCGAATCTCCATAAAAATTGGTACACAGTTGAGACCGAAGAATACTATAATAGCAATAGAACTATATGATCTATTGGTGGATGCTGTGGAAATATTTATCTAGCATCGACATTTGTTTATTGTCTTGGATCCGGGAAATTAGTTTTCGTATAGCAACAAGTTGAGTCGGTTAGAAATCGATCGGTCCATCGGTCTATATTGTGCCCGGTTGAGTGGACACATTAATAGGATATTATTGTTGGGTGGAGAAGGTTCACTGCTGTAACAGGACAAATTGCATAGTGTTCAAAAATGCAAATTGGTTACAACGATTACATTAATGTTCTATGCAAATTGGAAATCATGATTACATTTAATATATGCTGAAGTATGTTTTGATACAAAACGATCACTATTAATATTGTAAAAATCTGTGAATTTAGACCAAAATCGTAGTGTATGTGAAATTTTGTGTATTTGTTGTATTGTATTGTATACATTGATTTTCAATACAAAGAGTATTGAAATTTAAAACGTTAATATATCTAAATTAATAACAAATTAACAATTTTTTTTTCAAATTCTTATGAATGACCACAATAATGTTTTATAAAAAGTCAATTTTATTTTCTATTTATAACTTAATGTTTTGCTGTTTTTTTATAACATATTAATAGAGCTCTTATTAATTAAATTTTTAAATCAAAACATTTGTATATATATAGATTTTACCGTTAAAAAAAACGATAAGAAAATACAACTATTAAAATTAATAGTAAAAATTATATAAAAATAGTGTGTGTACAGTGTAGCATATTTGTTATTTAATATAATCAGTTGCTACACTTTTATTATTTTGAGTGTCACGAAGTTTGTTCAAGTTCGATACTTGACATCGTTATATTTTAATAATTTCTACAAAAACTGATAATAAATATTTTAATTTCAGGACAAAAGCATGGTATGGTAAATCTCAATCACACATCAAATCAAATTCAAATAAGTCACGATTTTATTGATTTTGTATATACCTCATGAAGAATTTTGAATTCGAAACAGGTCGTACATAACAAGTAAATCAATACTCCAGGCTAAGCATTTATTTATTTATTCCTATAAGCTGTGTATTTATATTTTTATCAACAAATATAAACAATTTACTAATTTTTGTTTTAATTTATTACTTAATTAAAATTCAAAATATTTGTATGCAAAATGTTTTTAACGTCATCACATTGAATATATAATACGTGGGGAAAAATAAACAATGGTTTCAGTCCTCCTTTTATACACAATTTCATTAAATTTTTTCCGTAGAGGAGTGGTGCCCCACCCGCGGCCCGCAAAGGTATTCGGTGTGGCCCGTTGCAATTTTTTTTAAAATAAAACAAAATGTTAAAAAAATAATTATAAAATAGGATTTTTTCAAAATGAATTAATTTTACTTTCGAAAATTTTCAAATATAAATTTCACGATATAACCCGTGCACTTAAAAGAGCATACTGGTTGAATTAATGTGTACCTCAATCTGTAATCTTTTCATTAGCCAATAAAAATATTTGAAAACAAATTCAATATTTACCTACATGTATATTGTATACCTACAATGTTTAACAAAATAACATTATTAGATTGGTAAAGATATTATTCGTACTTTTATAATTGATGGTTCGCTTTAAGATAATTAACTCTAAGATAATTGTTTACCAAAGTGGCCCCCCCGAGGAAAAAAGGTCGGACATCATTGCCGTAGAGCACATACAAATTGAATCACAATAGAACCGTGTATTGATTAAAAGCAAACATGACATTTTTATCAAGCGCGTACGCAATAGGGGGGGAGATTCAACCCTCTCCGATTCAGGAAAATTATCAAATATATTTTAACAAAGTAAAAGTGGTTTATAGATTATTTAAATAAGAAAACTTACAGACTAAAACATTTGTAATAGCTATTTGTAATAGCGTTTTGACCAGGACCGAAATGCGTACATTCTATTTAAATTGTAAACTTTTCATACTCGAAATAACATACAATTTACATGTAGTGTTGCAGTATACAAAAAGTAAACAAAAAAGTATTGTAAATCAACGAAATGAACGATTTTCCATTTATTCGAAATGCATATACAAATAACAACAACTGTAACACATTTTGTCCTAGTGGCCTAAGACCTGAACACGGTACAAAGTATGTCACGTCTCGCTGTTGTGGGCGCCTTGCGTCCGTGGAGGAAACGTGGAGGAAACAGAAGTCAAACCCTCGTCACTTGCAAATTGGAAAGCCATGCGAAGGTCGTTGTATTATAATAGAATATATTATGTTCAACAGCATGTAATTCTCTATGATTGTTGAAACAATCGGAGAATGATATAAACTATGTTCACTTTCATTAAACTTTATATTTTCATAAAATATATCCAACATAATAAAACCGTTCATAAAGCTTTAATTATAGTCTTAAGTATTTTTGTAACCGACACGTAAAAAACGAACGTTTTTTTTATCGAATGCGGAATAAATGCTCGGTTTAAGTTGACTGTTTTAATTATCCATTGCACTGAAAATTGACCAATGTTCTACGTGTACTAAATTGGTTTTTTTTTTTTATTTCGAACTTAATCGGAGGATTCCGACGAAGCGGCACTCGTGTAGTATACGTTTTGGTATTGGTCGTTGGTTTCGTGTTGGTCGATTTTCATACGTTGTTTTCAACAATTATTTACGTGTTTGCGAAGATCCAAAAACGGGAAGACGAACAATCGTGAACATTCGGTTATTACCGCAGCGTTGATTTTCGTTAATCGAATACTGGTACACACATTTAACCGTATCAAAAGAACAATGCGTTATCGCATATTCTATGTGCCCTCGGAATGTGTTTTCGTCCGATCACACCGCATCGATGTCACGTTTTTCAACGCGCGCGGTTCTGATACAATGTGTACTACTGTGTACGTCCGCGGCGAACCGCAGAGCTGTCAGCATCATTTTGCGCAGTAAAAAGAAACGAAATTCGAACGACGCACATCGGTTGTCAAATTACTTTACTACTGACCTTATTATGGTTTTGATAAATGATTGGGGATTTTTCGTATTGAAATTGATGGCAAATAATGTTGCCCGCAGCGTAAAAACACTGCGCGGCACGGGCAAGGGTTGAACAAAACGGAATGACACCAATGATCTTTAGGTCACGTGCTATAGCTATCTATGTGTGTTAATGCTACTGTACTTCAGACCCTTTCGTGCATTTGCTACGGCGAAATTAAATAGGGTCAATACGCTGTACCGACGAAAAGTGTATGAATTTTACCGTCACCGCATGTATGAACTGCTAATTTATATATTTGTCCATTGGTTAAAATATGGTTGAAATCATTCGTGCGTTTACTACCCACATTGAATATAACTAAATTTAATTATATTATGTTAATTTTCTCGAACTAACCTCATTATTCAAAGCAATTCTACGTTAATGCCATTCAATGTGTTTTAAACTCAAACAAACAACATATACGATGTAAAACATAAAAGAATTAGACTTAAAAGTGTTCCCCTTCCCGTGTGAATGGTGTGGTAAAAAAAAAAAACACGCAGAAAATAGTTGTTGGTTTGTATTGTAAGTATTAAACCATATATACTAAAGCATAAGTTTTTGAAAGTAAAAACTATGTACCACACATCTATGGATCAAAAGTTTTCTATAACATAATAATTGTACGATAAAAGTTTATTAGCTGTTCTAAATAAAAATTAGCTACTTTTCTGTGAACATTCAATTAAGGAGAAAACACAATTGAAAACGTAATAAATATAATGTTCACATTGTATTTTTGGAAATAGTAAAACTGTAACATAAACGAAAAATCCATAATGAACAATTAAATTAAAATTTCTTTCTTTCTTACGGTTTTAAAATTGCCAAAAATACAATGTGAATATTATATTCATATAATAAATTTAATTAAATACTAGGGAAGCGTTACAGTTGAATAGAAACGATCAAACGGGAAAATCTGATGACTGAAAGGAACAAAGGAAAATAGCCTAAAAGAAAAATGAATTCAACGGATATAAGAAATATATATATATATATATATATATTAATTTTAAATTAAAATGAGAAAAATGCAATTAAAGAGAGGACATTTTCAGCAAAAAATAATGTTACAAAAATCTATAATCTCATAAGCCCAATGACAATTGAAGAATATAAAAGGAGAAATACATTATTGGTTGGCTTGGTGTTTGACTTGATCCTGGAAAATATTTCTATGAAATATCCGTAGAGACATCGGCTGTGACACCAAAGGGGTATCACAAGACGCATTCATATTGTTCGGTTTACGAGGTATAAAGGTATAATAGTTTAATGTATGAAAAATCTTATAATACAAAAATTAAAACTATTCACTCTTTAAGAATATTTATATTAACACTACTCATAAAAGCAATAATTATTAAACAGGACAGATAAATATTTTTGTTTATATACTTTGATTTTTCTTTTAATGTGCTCATGTAACTAATTTGTTAATTATTATTGATATTTTCTTCAATGTTATATGCAATTTCAAGTTTAAAGAAGTAATTTATTTGATTTTAGAGTTTCGATAAAATATTTGAATATAAGATTTTTCAAGTCATTTAAATATATTATATATATTTTGCTTGAAAATTATTGAATATTAAAATGAAGCACATTGTTCTAGTATTAAATTCTGAGTGAATGTACTAAGTTAACATGTTCTATTGTATCTGTGTACGCTGATTTCTTAATAATTATAACAAAATTAAGACAACTTATAAAATAACGATAGTATTTAAGAATATACTAATTTTTGACAAAATGGAAATATTGTTTTCATTGTAACTCAAAAAATAATAATCATAAACTTGGAGATATTTACGAAATACTTTTAATACTGTTTACTGTAGGTAGTAAAATGTTTAATGATATTTGGGTTTTTTGTAAATAATTAAAATGTTCTTATTATCTTGTGATAAAAAGTTTTAAAAATTTTATACAATGACAATGCCTTCCTCGTATACTTTCACTATAATTGCAACATGTGTTTGCATTGGGCAGCAAATATAATAGGATTATAAAGACAGACATTTATAAAGTTGAGTTTTCAAGTGATCACAAAAAGTGATAACTTAAGGATTTATTTTAACCATTTTTATCAAATAGAAAATTACCAACCGAGACAATAAATGTCACAAAAGACTACAAAAATTTAAAAATTACTAAGTAAACACTAATTAAATATTAAGATATAACCCGATATTAGAAAATGAGATCTACATCTAAACATTTTCAATATAATATTAGAAACAAAATTCATGTTTTAACATAACTCAATTGTGAATTGTAACATAAGTGATCCCAAATAAACTAAGAAACGATTCCAGTAAATGAAACGCTTTCAAACAATTTTTTAAAAAAAAAAAAGTTAATATGTGTACTATTGTTTCAAATATAAATAAAAATTATTCGACGGTAAAATAATTTATTTAGAACATTGGTCATTATAACCAATATAATCAGTGGCGTAGCCAGTAGGTGGATTACAGGTTATAACCCATCCCCCTTAAAATCTCTACAATTTAAACGTTCTTATATGAATTAACAATAATATATATTTCCATATTACTCATGTTAGCTCTTCTATCACTGAAAATGTGTTTATAGAGATTAAATGAACGTTTAACATCAACAGATGATAGAGGTGCAAATTCATTTCAACAACTACACTGGATGCAAAATGTTCTGGGAGATCTTCATCCGAAATTTTGAGTGCCCAGTAAAGGAGAAATATACCATTCCATCTTGTAATAAAAATGTTATACAACATATTATATTTATATACATTTAAACTGCATCACTACTTGTTCATAAAATTATAATTTCCATCCAACTTCTAAGAGTATTAATAGAGATTATAAACTTACTGATAGACCAGTGGTCGCTAATCGATGGTCTGCGAGAAAATTTAGATAGTCCGCAAAAAAATTTAAACGTTACTTACAGAATCTTTTTGTCTTTATTTCCCAAAAACCTTAAACCCTAGACATGGTACTATGTGGATAATAGAATCATTTGC